CGTACCTGAAGTTGAGTTTTGTTTCATTCACACACGTTTAAAGGTTGTATAGAGGATTTTTTAAGGAAAGTGAAATACAGCGACAGTCCTTTTTCAAATGTTGTGCATGTGTGACACCACCTCCCTCCTCCACAGCTCCATCAGTAGAAACACCTCCTCCCTCCTCCTTACTCTAGAAATCACGTTTGTTTACAGCCAGTGTGCGTTCAGAATTACTGTTGAAGTGACCTGTCTAGAAATAATTTAGCGACCGATGCGTCAGTTTTTAGATCTTTCGTCCGCTTCAGTCGCGCCATCGCTGGAAGAAATCTCCAAGAATCACCTCAGTTTGTCTTTTGTGGCGAACTGGTCGTGGATTCTCGTCCGCCATCGCGACAAACTTTGTGCGAATTGCGAGGAAACAACAGTTTAAAAAAGCCTCTAAGAACCGCTGCATAAACCACATAATCCCAGCGCGCCGTGAGTCAGTTACACTAAAAATGTAGGAAGTTTGATTGACAACCTAACAGCCAATAGAAAATGAGGTAGCCTCGTTATCTATTGGCTGATGTTTATCTGGCCTCACTACGTTCACAGTTGATAGATTTTCATTCTTTTCTTTTTTGGTCATCAAAATGACAAGGCTGCTGCGTCTCTGTAATGGTATTTGAAAGTTTCATTGACAATTTGAAACAAAAAAAAAAAATCCTCCTACAACCTTTAATTGACACACAAACCCTGCATATTGGCTGAGTTCTTCTCTCAAAAATGAAAACGCTCTGTTCCACCTGTGATGTCATCCAACTGTGTTTTTAAACTCCACACACCTTCAACAGAATAGTTTGGATAATTTTACACCTGGAACTGACAATCTCTAATGAACTAAAGGAGCTTTTAATTTGAAAACCATCGCTTCATGACATCATAAGGTGGAACAGAGCATTTGGAGTTGTGGAAATGTAGGGTTGCACGACAAAACACAACTCCAGGTATGTTTTTGATGAGGGAACAACATTAGAAAATGGCTTAAAGCTCATGAGAGAGATTTTGTGTAATAAACGTTCTTTAAATGGTTTGCAGAGGTCCAAAGTTCTTCCTCATTTACCTTAAACATTCAGAACATCCTAATTATTCTCTGCGATGAGTTTATACGCGCTTTTCACGACTTTCAGAGACCAAAACAGTAAAGAGCATCAACTAGTATGCTAACACGCACTTCCTTCACTTTGTAATTAGGTGCATGAAGTAGACAGCGTACTCGTTTTGACCTCAAGAGCTGCTTCTACAATGTATCTGTATCTGACAAAACAAACAAAAAATCACTATGGGAGCCTTTAAAGGTGGGGTAGAGATCACTAAATGACTCAAACATGCATGGATGACATCTAAAACCTCTACAAGCATGTTTTTGATGAAGGATCAATGAAATCAATGAATGAAAAGCTGCATTAAGCCAATTTTGCATCATACTTCCTCTTAAACATAATGGTTTAGTCTTGGTTGAACCCTGAACGAGTCCAGACCTAGTTTAGTCCTTGATTAGTCCCAAATCTAGTCTTGTGTGGTCCTGTATTAGACCTGGTTTAGTCCTGGTTTAGACCTGGTTTAGTCCTGGTTTAGACTTAGTTTAGACCTGGTTTACTCCTAGTTTAGTCCTGGTTTAGACCTTGGTTTGACCTAGTTTAGATGTAGTTTAGACCTGGTTTAGTCCTGGTTTAGTCCTGGTTCAGACCTGGTTCAGACCTAGTTTAGACCTGGTTTAGACCTAGTTTAGACCTGGTTTAGATCTGGTTTAGACCTGGTTTAGACCTGGTTTAGTCCTGGTTTAGACCTTGTTTAGACCTGGTTTAGACCTTGTTTAGACCTGGTTTAGTCCTGGTTTAGACCTTGTTTAGACCATGTTTAGACCTGGTTTAGACCTGGTTTAGACCTGTTTTAGACCTGGTTTAGACCTGGTTTTAGACCTGGTTTAGACCTGGTTTAGTCCTGGTTTAGACCTTGTTTAGACCTGGTTTAGATCTGGTTTAGACCTGGTTTAGTCCTGGTTTAGTCCTGGTTTAGACCTGGTTTAGACCTGGTTTAGACCTGGTTTAGTCCTGGTTTAGACCTGGTTTAGACCTGGTTTAGATCTGGTTTAGACCTGGTTTAGTCCTGGTTTAGTCCTGGTTTAGACCTTGTTTAGACCTGGTTTAGACTTGGTTTAGTCCTAGTTTAGTCCTGGTTTAGACCTGGTTTAGACCTGGTTTAGACCTGGTTTAGATCTGGTTTAGATCTGGTTTAGACCTGGTTTAGTCCTGGTTTAGTCCTGGTTTAGTCCTGGTTTAGACCTGGTTTAGACCTGGTTTAGATCTGGTTTAGATCCTGGTTTAGACCTGGTTTAGACCTGGTTTAGTCCTGGTTTAGAGACCTGGTTTAGACCTGGTTTTAGACCTGGTTTAGACCTGGTTTAGTCCTGGTTTAGTCCTGGTTTAGACCTGGTTTAGTCCTGGTTTAGTCCTGGTTTAGACCTGGTTTAGATCCTGGTTTAGACCTGGTTTAGACCTTGGTTTAGTCCTGGTTTAGTCCCTGGTTTAGTCCTGGTTTAGTCCTGGTTTAGTCCTGGTTTAGTCCTGGTTTAGACCTGGTTTAGACCTGGTTTAGACCTGGTTTCCTGGTTTAGTCCTGGTTTAGACCTGGTTTAGACCTGGTTTAGACCTGGTTTAGACCTGGTTTAGTCCTGGTTTAGACCTGGTTTAGACCTGGTTGTCACTGCACTGACCGACCCGTATGATCCACACACACTTTATTGAAAATGACACGACTGGTACTACCGAAACTACCGAAATTTTCTCTCTGTTATTTTCACTCGGAATATTTTGTTCACGATTCTGCTGCGCTCAAACCTCCCGTCCAAAACCTAAACTCTTCGCAGACGAGAAGAGGAGGACAAAAGTGAAATCGCGCCAATCAGATGTTCCAGTCTCGATTCATTGAGCAGGAAACCAAAGCCATGTGAGGCCAACAAAACTGAAAACACGATGTGGTCTTTGCCAGTCAGGATCAGTGTCACAGAATCCACCGTATCTCACAGACGGGTTTGGGAAAGAGTTCTGCGTTTGGAAATAGCCAAGAAAGTGGAGTGTGTGCTTTGCCTGGAATGTTCCACAGTTTGGCATTAAAGAGCCCGTATTACTGTATTTTCTGATCTGTCATAATGCTGTTTTTGTTTCATTTGCACATGTTTAACACAGAAACCCTGCAAATTTAGGCTAAGTTCTTCTCTCAGACTCTGTTCCAAACACTCTGTTGCACCATGTGATGTCATGTGGGAATACAGGAAGAGCTCCACTGTGGTTTTAAACTCCCTACACCTTCACTAGGATTATTTGGATCATTTTAGACATGGAATTTCCAATCTCTACTGAACAAAAGGTAAAAGGAGCAGAGAACAAGTTGGAACAGAGCACTTTGAGCTTTGGCTTTAGTCATAGATTCAAATGCAGAACATGTTTTTGGAGTGGTCAGTAGTAGATTGGGATGTGCGACAAAATTGCGAAAAATCTTGTGCAAAATTGCCACAAGATTGCACACACAAGACAAAAATGATCTCACAAAAAAGGGTCACGTGTTGGTGAGTTACATCTCTTACAGTTCCAAAAAGCAGCACAAACAAGAATGAAAGCAAAAATATGAACTCAAATAAATCTGTGAGGCCAAAACTGGAAACTGAACTGTGAAATGATTCATTACTGTATTTTTCAGATTATCATTCACACCGGACTATAAGTTGCACTTTTTGGGGGAAATTAATTTTGTAAAATCAGAGACCAAGAACTGACATTTCATGTTGAAAGTCAAGTTCTAGTAATAACAATAGAAGAGAGAACAACAGACTGTTAATGTCACATATGAACAGTTCTTCACATAAACTATAACATAAACAACAGAACAGAACAAGTTTAACAAACTCTTCCATCTCACTCCAAATCACTAAATCCATTCAATTCTTCATCCTCGGTGTCACTTCTGAACAACTCCACGACCTTCTGTGCGACCTCCAGAGATAAACCATAGATCCATGATGTAAAATGAGCGCCCCTTCCTCTTCTGTGTCGCTGTCGTCAGACTCAGCATCAGTTCCAGTTAGAATTATTTTGGTCTTTCTGAATCTCGACAGGATGGTTTCGGTGTCACTGAAGTTCAGGCTTTGTCCATCCATCCAGTGACTTCAGGAAAGTTACATGGTGCACCCAGTTTTCATGAAGCTGTGTTCTCCATCCCCTCTTTCTGCCAGTCTCTCACAAGTCTCTCTCTCACTCTAAACTTTCTTTCTGCTGCTCGATAACTGTTTTCAGCTGCAGATTTCACAACTTGCATCTTGTAATCTGCAAAATATGACTTTCTTTTTGGGGGCATTTGTGTTCAGTTTTCTCTGTCGTTTTTATAAGTTTGTTTAAATGTGAAATTGTTCAGAGGTGCAGAAGTATTGGTGCAATCGACTGACATGATGCAGACAGAACAGAGGCTCTTTCTGCAGGAGACATGTGCAGTAGAGTGAAGTGACAGTGGTACAGGAGGAACAGAAGTAACAGATACTGATACATAAGACTCGAGCCTCTCACAGCTTCACTGTGAAAATTTTAATATATATAAGTCGCACCAGAGTATAAGTCGCAGGAAACACCCAAACCATGAAAAAAGTGCAATTTATAGTCTGAAAAATATGGTATATTAGGAATTATGTTCAAATCTCGTCTTGTTTCGTTGTCATGTCCAATCTCATATGTCCATTTGTCTTGAGAAAATGGTATCTGTACCCATCCCTATCAACTCATAAAACTAAAAATTCAAATTCAAACCAGACAATTTTGGAAAAGTAATTTATTTCCAAAATTCCCTGGGAATTGTTTGCGTGTCTCCTTGATAATTGATGAACATTCCACACATACACGTAGGACATCCCTATCGTGGCATCACCGCAAAGAATCTATCAAGATGTTTTCTCATGTGAATAAAAAGTTTCCTTTTCTCTTTGTTTTTAGGTTTTTGCCAAAGTTTTCAGTCACGAGGCGCTGGAGTCGTACTTACCCAAAATCCAGCAGGTGATCCAGGAGAGTCTGAGAGTGTGGAGCTCCAACCCAGAGCCCATCAACGTCTACAGGTAACACACAAACACGAGCAGTGTCTTCTATCAGCTGAAGATGCAGTCAGAGTATTCACCTTTTTCCAGGAGTTGCCGTCATGATTTGAGTTGTATTATTTTGTGTTGTTTTGTATCTTTACAGCAATAATAAGTTCAGTATGGACAATAAAGCTGATTTAAAGCATCCAAGAGAATCGGTGCACATGAACATTGAACATTTTACACAAATGAACCGACTTTATGTCATGTTTAGGATGCAAAATGTTTCCCAAACTCTGTTGATATCGCGGTGATTTTAGCATATTTGCATGAAGAAAAACCCACCACTTCAATCCAGGTTAAAAAAGCATTGTAACGTGCGTTACTGACATTTGTACAGAGTAAAATATGACTATTTTTTTCCCTATATAATGCCAAACATTACTGCGTTACAGCAAAAAGCAACTCATTACAGTAATTTGTTACTTTTATAACACGTTATTCCCAACAATGTTGACAGGACATTAAAATAGAAATAGAAAAGACACTGCCTTGTGAACTCCCTCTGGATCCGCTGATATAAGTATTAGGAGCATTGTCAGTTAATGTATGTGTAAAAGTGTGTATGTGTATTCTTTTGATGATTGCACGAAAAATGATAACTGTAACTGCAGAAAACCCTCAACTCCAACGAGGAAAGAATGGACACAGAGACTAAAACAAGTCTATATCATGGAACAGCTAACGGCCAAACTTCAGATGAAAATGGATTTATTCTTAGAACGATGGACTCCGGTGACTATGTACCTGAATAATAACTAGTATAATAACCCAAGGATTGTTCTAAATGTTTATTTGCACTGCTGATCTTAATAAACTAAAGTAAAACAAAAAACATATTTCATCATGTTGTCTGCGCTGAAAGGAATCATGGGATATGTAGTTCCCAATGTTTATAAACTGTTGCTACGATAAAACCATGCATTTAACAAAGAAACTTGTAATTCGATCTATATTGTGACAGCTTTCGATATTATTGTGAGACTTTTGATGATATCGGAATATTTTGGTTATTGTTCCCTTATATTCACTGTTTTGATGGTTAAAATGTTGGTGTTTCATATTCATTTTGCACAAGACATGGTTTAACAAAGTTAGTATGTTTTAGCCTTTAATTTTATTGAATCGTATCGAATCAAAAGTGCACTGTATTGAGATATGTATCGTATTGTGGCCCATGTATCACAGTATGTATTGTATCACTTCTGTCCTGTCAATGGCACTTCTTTTTTACTTGCAAAAATAATCTAACATCTAATATCACTTTTATTTGTTTAATTAAAAGGGACACAACAGAGAGCATTGTTACGTTAAAATAAAAAAATGATCCCATGTCTAGTCAAGGGTTCATTTGCAGACTTAATACCAATTAATATCTGATTTTTGATCATTTTATGACCCCATTGTGTTGTGTTGTCGCCCGTAGGGAGAGCCAGCGCTTGTCCTTCACCATGGCCGTGCGGGTGCTGCTCGGGTTCAGGGTGTCAGAGGACGAGATGAAGCACCTTTTCTCCACGTTCCAGGACTTCGTGGACAACCTGTTCAGCCTGCCCATAGATCTGCCCTTCAGCGGCTACAGGAAGGTGAGGGGCCAGAACTAAATTAGAATTTTGCACTGTGTAACATTTCTCGTGAAGGGTCCATGCTGCCTGTTGTTTCTATGGAGATGTCACTCCTATGCCCGGAATGTTCCACAGCTCTACCTTATATTTATTCAATTACAGGTGGTTTTGTAGCTCCAAAATACCTAGAAAAACCGACATTCTGACTGTGAGCAGGATCGCCTCTCCACAGATCTGACCTGTAACTTGGTCTGGTTTGATCTCCATGAAAATAGAAAGGGTTAAAGCAGGGGTGTCCAAACTTTTTTCATCAAAGCCACTTACCTAAACACAGATGAAGCAGAGGGTCGATCGAGGGCCAAAGACTGGTGCTCAGTAAAGTGAATAATTAAAATAAGTGTTTAACACGTTAGAATGATTCATCGTCTTTATAGGTGAGTTTCAGCTGACGTCATTGTTATTAAAAGCCCGCATTGCATGCTGGGAAATATTTTGGTCGGAGGCAAGAAACACAGTGCGTAACCTCGTGTATTTCTCCCCGATAATGGTAAATTCCTGCTGCATTATCAGATGCACAAATAGAAGCAGGGAAGAAGGAAAATGTCTTTTTCATATTCTGAGTGAAAAGAACCGCTAACAGTGAATTAAATGACTTTCAAACATTCACAGAGCAAACGTAGAAGATCCTAACAAACCGTGGACTCCAACAAGTTCAACAACACATCGAGACTCTTGGAGGTTTTCATCTTTTCTGCTGTGAATGGCCCAGGAGTTTCCACCAAGTCATTGTGGATATCACCAAAGTGAATATTTGTCCAGGCAGTTGGAGATTCTGACCAGAAATTTGGTTTGGTCCACCTTTTGTCGGGGTTGAAAAGGGTGATTTGGCTCCATCGATGCTTATGACCAATTTCTGGTCAAATGGTCTTGGCTCCTCTGCCGTTAGAGTGGATAGTGGATGCTTTCTCACTCCGTCCGTCATGTTGAATTAGTGTTTCTTGCCGCTGAACAAAATAATTCCCAGCATGCAATGCGCGCTTTTGTCAAAAATGAAACTTGCCTATTCATGCTAAGATCCTTAAAACCACACAATAAATATTCAATATTTACTTTATCAAGGTAGATTTTCAAAAAACTTGCAGTTAAAATGATTTTTTAATTGATGCAAGGTAATTTGGGCCAATTCACCTGAAAGCCTGAGGGCCAAGAAAAATTTGTCTGAGGGCCGCATTTGGCACCTGGGCCATAGTTTGAACATGCCTGGGTTAAAGCTATACTGTGAAACATTGTTTTTACAGACAAAGTAAAAACATCTCCATGGAGAAAAGCGTTTGACGGACCCTTCAGCAGAAAAGTAGTGTGATTTATTAGCCGGTTTCAACGAATCAGAAAAAATTTACACAGTGCACTTTTATGGTAAAATACTGAATACATTTTTTACATGTACTGCATTAAACACAGCAAGTTTCTAAACTACACAAAATTGACTCTTGTGAGCTTTTAATCATTGTTAGAATGATATTACTGTTCCACCTTGTGATTGTTAAGGATTGGAAGGAAGTCAAAATATAGTTTTTTTATTTCTTTTATTTTGAGTTGGTTCTTATTTTATTATATATTTTTTAAATGTTTTTAAAGAAATATAAAAACCCTTCCATGCCCCAAAAATTATGAAAAGTAATAAACAGCAAGGTGGACCTGGTGAGTCGACCAAACAGAACAAAAATGTGCGACACCAGGCCACCCTCGTACAGGGCTGTAGAAGCCGGTGCCAACACCCAAAACAATCAGAATCCCCCCTGCAGTCTGAACGTAGCCTTAGTCTGGTTTGATCTCCATGGAGAAAAGCATTTGACGGACCCTCCACCAAAAAAGTGACACAACGCACCTTTAACCTCACTGCCATGCCAACTTGTAGCTGCTCGCTGTAACTTTCTGAACTTTTGAGGAAATAAACAAACCCCACATACGTCCCTAACCTTATATTTGACTTTGCAGACGGAACAATGTGATTTAGAGCAGACTCCAGGACGGCCGTGCCCCGCTCTTTATGATAGATGAGGATAATTACAGACATTTTGGGTCCATTTGGGGTGATCTCGGGGTCACTCTGGGTGCACTTTCAGCCTGGGTGGCTTCCACAAACAAACCCAGACAATGCAGTGAGTTTTATTCTGACATGATGGGCGGTGTGGCTACAGTTAGACATGTGCAATTTAAAAACAGTTACAAAACATTTTAAAAGCTCCTGAATTACACAAAACGGACTCTTGTGAGGTTTAAGTCACGTTACAATGTTGTTACCTCCTCAAAAACCGACCTGGAGCCGTGTTTTGTTTCATTCACATGTTTTAGTTTTAGTTTTTAAGTTAAAGGTGCATTGTGTAACTTTTCTGGTGGACATTCATCTTCTTGTTTTTATGGAGATGTTATTGCTTTGCCTGGAATATTCCGCAGTATGACATTAAGCTTTACTTTACATTTATTCAATTGCAAGTGGTTTTAGAGCTCAAAAATACCTAGAAAAGGACTAAACCAGGTCTACACCAGAACTAAACCAGGACTAAACCAGGACTACACCAGAACTAAACCAGGACTACACCAGAACTAAACCAAGACTAAACCAGGACTACACCAGAACTAAACCAGGACTAAACCACTAAACCAGAACTAAACCAGGACTAAAGACTAAACAGGACTAAACTAGGACTAAACCAAGACTACACCAGAACTAAACCAGGACTAAACCAGGTCTAAACCAGGTCTAAACCAGGACTAATCTTGGACTTAAGAGAGGGAACACCGAAGCAAGGTGTCCGTAAAGCGTTTACCTCCATGAGGTGCGGCACTGAGTCGAGCCCGTCCTGACAGCGAGTCCTGTTTCAGTTCTGGTTTAGTCCTGGTTTAGTCTTGGTTCAGTCCGTGGTGTAGGCAGCGCAAAAGTTTGATATCATCTTGGGTTAACGGGTACGGGTCTTCAAAAATGGCCCTGTGCAGGACTCTGCGTTGTAGGGCTCCCTTACGGAATAAATGAATCTTCGGTTTGTTACATAAAGAAGGAGGAAAATAACAAAAGGACCACAGCAGCAATAAGTTTTAAGAAGGATGCAAAAAGGATTGTAACTGTCCTGTGTGAGAAAAGTGTTGACAAAGACTTGACATGTGTTCTGACCCAGTGTGTGTGTGTGTGTGTGTGTGTCGGTAGGGCATCCGGGCGAGGGACACTCTTCAGAGGAGCATAGAGAAGGCCATCCTGGAGAAGCCTCTGTCTCAGGGGAAAGACTACAGCGACGCTCTGGACGTCCTGATGGAGAGCGCCAAAGAGAACGGGGCGGAGCTCACCATGCAGGAACTCAAGGTACGACAATGTCCCAAACTCCAGCATTTATTCATTACAAGGTGTCCTTCCTGTGGATCAATCCTGCCCATCACCTTCACCTTTCACTATTTTTCAATTCTGTTGAGAAGGGAAACAGTTTGAACGGAGGTTTGAGTCACACACATCTGATTCCCTTTTGCATTTATAAAGTTCGCAAACAAATTTCTTAAGCCGTTTTCCGCTGTTAGGATCCAACAACCACACAATTACGATGTCTGAATCCCAAAACTAAAATATGACAATATCAGAACCAGAAACAAAAGTGATATGGTTCAAAAGACTAGAAAAGACTGACTTTGTCAATAGACACATCCCACTGGGAAAACAACATGGAGGTTTGATGCTCACTTTTTCGGAGAATCCTTCGCAGTATGAACTGCACAATGACCGAAAGTCCAAAATTCGTGATGCATGTATACTCCGGAAAATACGGTACATTTTATACAGAAGACATCAAAAATTTGAACCAAGATATATGGATTTATACAGCACAGAAAAAAGTTGAGAGACTTAATGCGGGGAGCAAAGGGATGGGAGACTCTTATAAAACATGTTCCTACGTTATTTTCAGCGAGTATAGCACTTACAAAACAATAAAAGGTAACACGGTGATCTAAATATGTCCCGTGGCTGCCCTCTGTGCAGTGGAGTATTTGAGTGGGCAGAGGGGCGGCGCTGAAGCTCAGACTGTAGCGCTCAGGTGTGAATCCAGGTCCCCGCTGGAGCGCAGCCAGAAGGAACTGTCCCAGAGCAGCAAACGGAGCAAACATCTGTGTCAGGGGTCATCCAGGGGTCACAGAGAGGTCACAGAGGGGTCACAGAGGGGTCACACAGGGGTCACAGAGGGGTCACGGCCAAGGCATGGACGTGTAAAGGCACAGTCTACATAAACAACTAAGAATGATTGAAGAATGACTAAACCAGGACTAAACCAGAACTAAACCAGATCTAAACCAGGACTAAACCAGATCTAAACCAGGACTAAACTAGGACTAAACAAACTAGGACTAAACTAAGGGACTAATATCTAAGATCTAAAACCAGGTCTAAACCAGGTCTAAACCAGGTCTAAACTAAAATCAGGACCTAAACAGGACAAGAGCAAACCAGATTTGGGTCTAATGAAGGACTAAACCAGGACTAAACTAATACCAGATCTAAACCAGGTCTAAAATGAGGACTAAAACCATGTCTAAATCAGGACTAAAATCAAGACTAAAACCAGGTCTAAACCAGATCTAAACCAGGATTTAACCAGGACTAAACCTACTCTAATGATCCAGATGATTGTAGTGAAGGTGTATGGAGTTTAAAAACGCAGCAGAGCTCTTCCTGTGCTACCGCATGACATCACAAGGTGGAACGGCGTTTTTCCGAACCCCTCCCGCCTCAATCTGCGCGGTTCATGTATTAAATTGTTGTGTGTTTGAAAGAAACAAAATGCAACTCCGGGTCTTTTTGTTTGGGTTTGTGCCGAGGAAACGACAAAGTGAGCGAGCCGACGGAGTAATATGAGTGAAGTGTTTTGCTCAAGGGCACAGCGTCTGTATCCGAGCGTAGTTTCTCTGACCGGTGTAAAGATAAGCTGGTGTGTCTGCGGCGTGAAAAATGTTTGCAGAGTGATATTTGTGAAAACGAAAAACTTCCTCCACAAACGCCTCTCTCCTCTTTTCCTTCCCCTCTTCTCTCTCTCTCCCTCTCACTTCTCTCTCTTCCTCCCTCTCTTCCACCTGTTCTCTCTCTATCTTTTTTCTTTCCATCGACCCTCCCCCCTCCCGTCTCTGTCTCTTCTTTTTCGCTCTCTCCCTCTTTCCCCCTTTTTCCTGGTTCTTGGGTTATGGCCAGGCCCAAAAATAAGTCGACACCTCTCCCTCTTCTGTCCCTCCATCCCCTCCTTTTTTTCTCTCCTCTCTCTCTGTTCTCCATCTATCCTTCCCTCCCTCTCTTCTCCTCTGTCTTCCTCTCTAAACTGCCCCTCTCTCCCTCCTTCCCTCTTTTCTCCCCCTCTATGTTCTCCTTCTATCCTTCCCTCTCTCCCTCTCTTCTCCAGCTACCCTCCTCCTCTCTCTCTCTCTCTTTTTTCTCCCTCCATCCCTCCCCCTCTCACTCCCTCCTTCCTTCCCTCCCTCTTCTCCAGCTACCCTCCTCTCTCTCTTCTTCTTACCTCCTTCCCTCTCCTTCTTTTCTATATCTCTCTCTGTCCTCCTTCTATTCATCTCCCTCTCCGTCTTTCCTTCCTTCCTTCCTCCCTTCCTTCTACCTCTCCTTCTTTTCTATATCTCTCTCTGTCCTCCTTCTCTTCGTCTCCTTCTCCTTCCTTCCTTCCTTCCTTCCTTCCTCCCTTCCTTCTATCTCTCCCTCTTTTCTCCCTCTCTCTGTTCTCTTTCTATTCATCCCCCTCTACCTCCCTCCTTCCCTCCCTCTTTTCTCCAACTACACTCCTCTCTCTCTCCCTCCTTCCCTCTCCTTTTTTCTCCCTCTGTCCTCCCCCTCACTTTTTTCGCCACGTACCCTCCTCTCTCTCTCCTTCCCTCTCTTCCTCCCTCTTTTCTCCCTCTCTCCCTCCGTCCGTCCTGCACATGTGTAAGATCGTGTTCTCCTCCTGAACACCGGGGGCAGAGCGCGGCGCTGTACGGACCCTCTGTTTTTGTGTGTGTTTTTTTATTCCGCTGGAAATGGCCAGGTCCCGAGCTGCGTCTGTTGACTTTGGAGGCGACTCACATATTTTCACAAATGTTCCACTTTTGAGGAATTAAAAACTCTCGCCGCTGACGTTACATAATGTGTCCTGACACTTTTGGGCCCCCAAAACAAACAGATGTGTACGAGTCCAGGACGCGCTCAGCTCCAGCTCGCCACGCCAACACACTCCAACACACTCCACACACACACTCCAACACACTCCACACACACACACACACAAACACACTCCACAAACACACTCCAACACACACTCCACAAACACACACCACAAACACACTCCACAAACACACTCCAACACACTCCACAAACACACACCACAAACACACTCCACAAACACACTCCAACACACACACTCCACAAACACACTCCACAACACACAAACACACTCCAACACACACTCCAACACACTCCAACACACACTCCACCAACACACTCCAACACACTCCACAAACACACTCCACAAACACACTCCAACACACTCCACCAACACACACACAACACACTCCACAAACACACTCCAACACACTCCACCAACACACTCCAACACACTCCACAAACACACTCCACAAACACACTCCAACACACTCCAACACACACTCCACACACACACACTCCAACACACTCCACAAACACACTCCACAAACACACTCCAACACACTCCAACACACACTCCACCAACACACTCCAACACACTCCACAAACACACTCCACAAACACACTCCAACACACTCCAACACACACTCCACCAACACACTCCAACACACTCCACAAACACACTCCACAAACACTCCACACACTCCAACACACACTCCACAACACACTCCAACACACACCACAAACACTCCACACAACACACTCCAACACACTCCACAAACACACTCCACAAACACACACACTCCAAACACACTCCACACACACACACTCCAACACACTCCAACACACACCCACAAACACACTCCACCAACACACTCCAACACACTCCACTCCAACACACACCATCACACACAACACACTCCAACAACACTCCACAACACAACACTCCACCACACACTCCACAAACACAACTCCACAACACACTCCAACACACACTCCACAAACACACTCCACACACACTCCACACACTCCACAAACACACTCCAACACACACACACAAACACACTCCACAAACACACGCCACACACACACTCCACAAACACACTCCACAAACACACACCAACACACTCCACAAACACACTCCACAACACACTCCACAAACACACTCCACCAACACACTCCAACACACTCCACAAACACACGCCAACACACTCCACAAACACACTCCACCAACAACACACTCCACAAACACACTCCACAAACACACTCCACAAACACACGCCAACACACTCCACAAACACACTCCACCAACAACACACTCCAACACAACTCCACAACACACTCCACAAACACACAACACACTCCACAAACACACTCACACACACAACACTCCACAAACACACTCCACCAACACACTCCACAAACACACGCCAACACACTCCACAAACACACTCCACCAACACACTCCAACACACTCCACAAACACACTCCACAAACACACGCCAACACACTCCACAAACACACTCCACCAACACACTCCACAAACACACGCCAACACACTCCACAAACACACTCCACCAACACACTCCAACACACTCCACAAACACACTCCACAAACACACGCCAACACACTACACAAACACACTCCAACACACTCCACAAACACACTCCACCAACACACTCCAACACACTCCACAAACACACTCCACAAACATACTCTAACACACTCCACAAACACACTCCAACACACTCCACAAACACACGCCAACACACTTATTTATTTGGTAAGAGTTTGTATTATTTGGATTTCATAGATGTTTTAAATGTAATGCACATGCAGACATATAATATCAAATATACAAAGTGTGGATTTTGCAGAGTCGAGTCTCAGGTCTGATCTGATTCTGATCTGGTTCCTGTTTTGTCCAGTTCATTAAGTTTACTAAGTTACACATTCCAAGACCAGACTGTGAAAAGTCAAGATTTTCAACAATGATGATGAATGGTTAGGTCGTGGTCGTGTCTCGGTCTTTAAAAGTCTTGGTCTTGTCTCTGTCTCGACTCTCAGAGGTCTTGGTCCTGTCTCGGTCTCAGCCCTTAAAAGTCTTGGTCTTGTCACGGTCTCGGCCTTTAAAAGTCTTCGTCTTGTCTTGGTCTCGACCCTCAGTGGTCTCAATCTTGGTCACTGTCTCAGCCTTTAAAAGTCTTGGTCTCGTCTCAGTCTCGGCTTTTAAAAGTCTCGGTCTCGTCTCTCTCTTGACCCTCAGAGGTCTTGGTCCTGTCTCGGTCTCAGCCCTTAAAAGTCTTGGTCTTGTCTTGGTCTCGGCCTTTAAAAGTCTTTGTCTTGTCTCAGTCTCGACCCTCAGAGGTCGTGGTCTTATCTCAGTGTCGACCCTCAGAGGTCGTGGTCTTGTCTCGGTATCGGCCTTTAAAAGTCTTCGTCTTGTCTCGGTCTCAACCTTCAGTGGTCTCGGTTTGGGAATAGTCTCGGCCTTTAAAAGTCTTGGTCTTGTCTCTGTCTCAACCCTCAGAGGTCTCAATCTTGGTCATGGTCTTGGCCTGTAAAACTCTTGGTTTCGTCTTGGTCTCGACCCTCAGAGGTCTTGGTCTTGTCTCGGGACCCTGCAGTCTTAGACAGGTCTTGGTCTCAGATGAAGTCAGACTTCAGTAACAGAACTTCGGACACAGTAGTGCTTTAAGTTAGCAACATTTCAGCCGCAAATGATCAATATTCCTGTTGTATTTTCACTCCTATGTAAATTATGGTCATCTATATTTCCACTTTATCCAGAGAAGAGCCATTAAAGCGCTCGTGAGTCCAGCTGGCCCCTCCACAAAGTAAAGACAAGGAAATTTAGGGGCCTTCTGCGTACTTTAAAATAATAACAAGTCCACTTTCCATATCACAAGTGTGGCTTTGGCAGAACCTCACCGTATGAAGAAAAGGGGATTGTGAAAACGTTGAGATCTTTTTAGGCAAAACTGAGAGAAATTTTTCCGAAAACAGATATTGTGTGTACGAGATGATTTCATTTCATATTAAAATGGAAACTGTTTTTTTTTTTTTCATTCGAGCATGTTTAACGCTCAAACCCAGGATGTTTAGGCTGAGTTTGTCTTTCAAACAGAAAACACTTGGTCCTGCTTTGTGATGTCACGTGGTGATACAAGAAGTGCTCCAGTGTGTTTTTAAACTCAGTACACCTTGACTAGAATCATTTGGATAATAGCCACAGAGTTGGCAATCTCTAAGGCGTGGATGTTTGAGTAATTTTGCGATCTCTCCACATTTAAACCCTCCTTATGTTTAGCTGTAAGATTCAGTACAAGGCTCCGCCCACAAGCCATGACAATTCACCATAAATATGCAAAAACATGATACAAAACTGTACACAGCAACTTAACAAACCTGATGCGACGTGCAGTGTTTTAATTAGCGGGACGCACGAAGATTGTGTTGTGATAGTGCTCTGAAGGGGGAGTGACTTAGAGCAGTGGTGTTAAAATCAAATTTACAGAGGGACTAAATTAAAAACTGGGACTAAGTTGTGGGCAAACTAAATATTTATTGAAAAATGTCTACAACATCTGCATGTTTTCTCTTCTTTCGAGATTTGTAATGTTAAACATTTTCTTAATAAAATAAATGTTTAATAGTATAGTTTTTCTTAAACATTGAATCCAGAACAAGCAAAATATAAAATAATAACATTTTAAATAAATAATGTCTCTATAGCCTATCTGTAGCAGGCCAGCTCTAATACAAAATCTCACGGGCCAAATATAATTATATTGCCGGCTAAATTTGGCCCCGGGGCCTGAGTTTGACATGTTTGACTTAGAGCAACAAAAACAAAACCGAAAATGATAAAACAGCACTTAATAACCCATGGAAGTCTCTTTAAAGATGCCTTGTGTAACTTTTCTGGTGGATTGTCCATCAAATGCTTTCATGGAGATGTTACTGCTTTGACTGGAATGTTTCACAGTACGGCATTAAACCTTTCTATCATCATAGGCACCAAGTCAGACCAAGTTATAGTTTCATTGTTGACAAAAGCGCACATTGCATGCGCGTTGGAATTATTTTGGTCGGCGGCAAGAAACACTAATTCAACATGACGGACGGAGCGAGAAAGCACGTAAAGGGTATTGATCCTGGTTATTTATCCAGTCTAACGGCAGAGGACCCAAGACCATTTGACCAGAAATTGGTCATAAGCATCGATGGACGACAAATCATCCTTTTCAACCCCGACAAAAGGTGGACCAAACCAAATTTCTGGTCAGAATCGCCAACTCCCTGGACAAATATTCACTTGGGTGATATCCACAATGACTTGGTGGAAACTCCTGGGCCATTCACAGCAGAAAAGATGAAAACCTCCAAGAGTCTCGATGTGTTGTTGAACTTGTTGGAGTCCACGGTTTGTTAGGATCTTCTACGTTTGCCCTGTGAATGTTTGAAAGCCGTTTCATTCACCGTTAGTGGTTCTTTTCACTCAGAATACGAAAAAGACATTTTCCTTCTTCCGTGCTTCTATTTGTGCGTCTGATAATGCAGCAGGAATTTACCATTATCGGGGAGAAATACGTGAGGTTACGCACTGTGTTTGACCGCTTCCGTGTTTCTTGCCTCCAACCAAAATATTTCCCAGCATGCAAGGCAGGCTTTTAATAACAATGACGTCAGCTGAAACTCGCCTATAGGTCAGATCTGTGGAGAGGCGACCTCGCTCACAATCAGATTGTCTGTTTTTCTTGGTATTTTTGAGCTATAAAACCACCTGAAATTAAATAAATAGAGTAGAGCTGTTTAAAGTCATACTGTGGAACATTCCAGGTAGAGCAATGACATATCCGTAGAAACAAGCAGGTGACGGACCCCCAACCAAAAAGTTACATAGCGCACTTTTACATTAAGAAGTACCAGTTTTAACCCTCTCTTTGTCCTGTTTCTCATCCAGGAGTCCACCATCGAGCTGATCTTTGCCGCCTTCGCCACCACGGCCAGCGCCAGCACATCCCTCATCATGCAGCTCCTCCGTCACCCGCAGGTGTTGGAGCGTTTACGCGACGAGCTCCGATCTCGCGGCCTGCTCCAAAATGGCCGCCTGTGTCCCGAGTCCGAGCTGCGTCTGGACACTGTGGTCAGCCTGAGGTACCTGGACTGCGTCATCAAAGAAGTCCTCCGGCTGTTTACGCCTGTGTCCGGGGCCTACCGCACCGCCATGCAGACGTTTGAACTCGACGTAAGTCTAAACTTTAGTAGCAGTAATACTTCATTTGGTCATTTTGCAGCACAGATCATGACCGAAAGGATTTAGGCTGAAGTAAAAGTCCTTATAGAGGCTTTTTGACCCCTATAGCAATGGTACCTACGCCACCATGACACCGGGCACACTATGCCATTGACTTCAGCAGCATCGGAGAAACATGGGCAGGTTTTGTTGTGTATTTGGTTGTTCTAGACGCTCTGAAAGGGATAAAATGAATCGTTTCTTCACTATTCCTCTGGAAATTACTCATCAGGAGCTCAAACAAGGAAATTATCAAAAAAAAGACGTGGATTATGGCTAGAGAACATAAACCACGAAGAGATTTCCTATGGTACCATCAAGACACCTGAAGTTTCATCAAGGTATTTGCTATTTAAATTGTTTCATAGCTTATTTAATGAAAGAAACACTTACTGAACTAAAATGTCATTAATTTATCCAGGAAAACCCGCACTAGTTTACGATTCAACGAACCCACACTGGGCTCCTGTGATCAACATGACGCACGAGTCAAAGAGTCTGTGAGCCGAACCTTGAAAGAATCGGCCATGAAAAGATCCTCGCCAACGTTAGAAAGATCCACTCGCAAAAAGAGATTAATTCTAGAAGACATAGTTGTGGATAAGCAAGACAATAAAGAAAACATGGGTCCTACGATGAGTGACATGTTTATATGTGCGCTGGAAGATACCAGTTTCTACTGCCACTCACACTGCAAATGTTTTCTTTTTACATTTTAGTTCAGTAAATGTGCTTCTCTCATTAAATAAACTATGAAACAATTTAAATAGCAAATACCTTGATGAAAGTGACGTGAGTGTGTCTTGATGGTACCATTGGAAATCTCTTCGTGGTTTATGTTCTCTAGCCATAATTCCCGTCTTTTTTTCGATAATTCCCTTGTTTGATCCTGATGAGTCATTTCCAGAGGAACAGTGAAGAAACAATTCGTTTTATCCCTTTCAGAGCGTCTAGAACAAACAAATACACAACAAAACCTGCCCATGTTTCTCCGATGCTGCTGAAGTCAATGACATAGTGTGCCCGGTGTCATGGCGGCGTAGGTACCGTTGCTATAGGGATCACGTGACGGTGCAAAGCCTCTATACTGTCTAACCCTATTAAACAATGACAGAATTCCAAAAAAGAAAAGCAGAATAGCAACTTTGCATTTACAATTTCATGGCGAGGAGAAAATTCAGTTTGTCAACTGGACAAAAGTTAGTTTGGTTGAAGACGTTTCGCAGCTCATCCAAACGTCTTCAACCAAACTAACTTTTGTCCAGTCGACAAACTGAATTTTCTCCTCAAATCATGTAAATAAATGGATGTATTTCATCATATCTTGTGTTATTCCATCTTTGAACTGTTGATGAAGGTACATGATTTAAAAAAAAAAAAAAGTTTTAAAATGATAAAAATTTGCTTGGAAGGACTGATATATTTTATAGAAATAGTTTCCTTTCATTTTGAAGTAATATTAAAGTATTCAGAAGAAAAAAGCGACAAATTATGCAAAATCCTGCACCTTCTACTTGTTTGCACAATTTTCCCTCCGTTACTTTTCCCTCCGTTACCATGACCTTTCTTAATAAAAAATCTCATGAGTCAAAAAGTAAGAGGTAGAAAACTATATGAAGCAAATATTCAAACCAGTTTGTTAAGGATATGGAAGTGAGAACCAAGAGTTATCACTGTTTGGATTTATTGGCCAAAAAGTGCTGCAGATTTCATTCCCTCCGTTACCGACATGAGTTTTTTAATTTTTTGTCAACAACTTGAAAGAATATCACAGGTTTAACTTGACCCTGTTGGAGTGTAACTCTTTCCTACATTCTGATACTTTACTTATTTCAATAGTCCCTCTAGTTTCTGAATAAGAGACATTTGAATGTCAAAAATCTGCCCCTGTTTCCCTCCGTTACCACTTGACTGGACCCAAGTGCAGAACATAGAACAGTTGTTCTGCACTCAGAACAGAACAGAGCAGAAGCGCAGAGATGCAATCACTTTTTTTCTTAGTTCTTATCTTAATTTTTTTAAAGACCTGTATGAGTATTGATACTTTATGGCTCTGGGGGTGTTCTACGTCTTTCTCTATTGGCAGAATGTTCAGCAGATACCACAGCGATGTAATGCACACATTAGCAAATTTTGCATATAGTAATAAAACTCAAAAAAGAATACAAAATTTCTTTAAACAACACATTTTCAGAAGCACTGTAACTGCTGAACATTCTGCCATACGCATACACATAGAACACCCCCAGCATGATGTCACTGCAAAGTATCAGTTGAATATGTAAACATTTTGGGAGTAATTCCTTCGATAACAAGCGGTGTTTTAGATGGCTTTTCACAGACTTTAACGGGAAGGCAGGGTTATTAATAAAATGTTCCTAAAACGTTTTTTTGAAAATCCTGATATTTGGCCAGTTAAAGCATGTTTCCTTTGGAATTCACACTTGTTTACTTTAGCAACAAGAACCAAAATGGCGGCAAGTTGGCAAAAAACAATAGTTAGATAGTTGTATTTTTGTAATCCATCAAAAGGTGCTCGAAGCTGCTGTAAGTGTTCAAGGACCACACTCAAACTCAAAAAAGTGAAACATGATGTTTAGTGGGGGGTCCAATTATTCTAGTGTAATTATACTAAGTGTAACTCAAGTTGCACTATGTCACTATTCCGGTGGTCCACTTGTCTCCATGGAGATAATATGGCCAACTTTCCTGGGTATTTGGAATAGCTAAATGAAGTATCTTGAAAGTCATGCGTTCTTACTGTGAGTGGGCTCGCCTCTCCACAGATCTGGCCTGCAACTTGAGCTTGTCTCTATGAACATAGATCATTTTAAAGCCATACAGTGGAAAGTTTCAGGCATCTCTAACATCTCTATGGAGACAAGCATTTTGAGGACCCTCCACAAGAAAAGTTACATAATGAATGAGTTGTTGTACAGTTGTAGGGAGTATTATCTGTTACATAAGGGTGAGTTGTTGTACAGTTGTAGGGAGTATTATCTGTTACATAAAGGTGAGTTGTACAGTTGTAGGGAGTATTATCTGTTGCATAAAGGTGAGTTGTTGTACAGTTGTAGGGAGTATTATCTGTTACATAAGGGTGAGTTGTTGTGCAGTTGTAGGAGTATTATCTGTTACATAAAGGTGAGTTTGTACAGTTGTAGGGAGTATTATCTGTTAGATAAGGGTGAGTTGTTGTACAGTTGTAGGGAGTATTATCTGTTACATAAGGGTGAGTTGTTGTGCAGTTGTAGGGAGTATTATCTGTTACATAAAGGTGAGTTGTACAGTTGTAGGGAGTATTATCTGTTACATAAAGGTGAGTAGGGAGTATTATCTGTTACATAAAGGTGAGTTGTACAGTTGTAGGGAGTATTATCTGTTGCATAAAGCTGAGTTGTACAGTTGTAGGGAGTATTATCTGTTGCATAAAGGTGAGTTGTTGTACAGTTGTAGGGAGTATTATCTGTTACATAAGGGTGAGTTGTTGTGCAGTTGTAGGGAGTATTATCTGTTACATAAAGGTGAGTTGTACAGTTGTAGGGAGTATTATCTGTTACATAAGGCTGAGTTGTTGTGCAGTTGTTGGGAGTATTATCTGTTACATAAAGGTGAGTTGTACAGTTGTAGGGAGTATTATCTGTTACATAAGGGTGAGTTGTTGTACAGTTGTAGGGAGTATTATCTGTTACATAAGGGTGAGTTGTTGTGCAGTTGTAGGGAGTATTATCTGTTACATAAAGGTGAGTTGTACAGTTGTAGGGAGTATTATCTGTTGCATAAAGGTGAGTTGTTGTACAGTTGTAGGGAGTATTATCTATTACATAAGTGCGAGTTGTTGTACAGTTGTAGGGAGTATTATTTGTTACATAAGGGTGAATTGTTGTAAAGAATTTGATGGACAACTCACAGTTCATGTTCTCATGCTTCCGTGTATTTGTTTTTTTTTTTCTTTTTTCCAGGGCGTACAGATTCCCAAAGGCTGGAGCGTCATGTACAGCATCCGCGACACCCACGACACCTCGTCCGTGTTCAAAGACGTCGACGCGTTCGACCCGGACAGGTTCAGCCAGGAGCGCGGCGAGGACAAAGAGGGCCGATTCCACTACCTGCCGTTCGGGGGCGGCGTACGCTCCTGTCTGGGCAAACAGCTCGCCACCCTCTTCCTCCGCCTGCTAGCCATAGAGCTCGCCAGCACCAGCCGGTTCGAGCTGGCCACGCGGAATTTCCCACGCCTGATCACGGTACCGGTCGTGCATCCGGTCGACGGGCTGAAAGTCAAGTTTTACGGTTTGGACTCAAATCAGAACGAGATCATGGCCAAGACGGAAGAGCTACTGGGAGCTACGGTTTAGACCGGCGAAAAAACAACGCCGCGAAAAGCTAAAATCTGAAAGAAGAAATGAAATAAATCGCTAAGTCACGTTTTGTTGCTGGAAGTTCGTTTGCAATGACTAAAAATACGTAACAACTGAATCGGGACTGTCCACGTACAAAGGAAGAAGCTGCCAAAAAGTTTAGTTGGTGTTATTTTTAAAACGAATCGCATGAAAAAAAGCTATAGGCCTACAGTTTAAGGAAAGAAAAGTAGGGAGTGCACAAGATGAGAGGGATAGAGAGCTAGCAAAGGTGGTATCTCGGAAAAATGAAGTGGTAAACATAGAAAAAGGTAGAAGTAGGAAGTTGGATAAAACAGGGTATAGATTGAAAGAGAATGATTATATTAGCATTTAGCTTAAACTAAACCAACGGACCATTTTGTTTTGTAAACCAGGGTAAATTAGTTGTATAAGATTAGGCTAACTTTTAATTATTTTTAGTGAAAATTATTAGGTTTTTTTTTGTTTGGGAATGTTTGAAAAATCGACAGCCGTTGGAGGCATTCAGTTCAGGTTGCAGTGGCTATAAGGCTAGAGTTCAAATGCAGTTTTATCGTTGCACAGGTTCGAACTTATTTCCGTTGAAAACCTTGATAAACAACAATGCTAACAATGCTAACACCAGTTATCTGTGGTTTTCAGAGTGACTGAAAAATAAACAGTTTCCATAGCAATTCAAATTTATCTTTTGAATAGTTAAAGGTCCCATATTACACTAAATGGACTCTTGTGAGCTTTAATGCCGTGTTCATTTGAATATCGGTAGTTGTTAAATCGGAGTCAGTTCTCCCGATATCCATTGTAAAAGCGTTCCATTGCAACAGTTGGGGAAAATATGGATGCCCGAGAAAGATTAATCCAAATTTATTTCTATAGCACATTTTACAAAGAAAGACGTTTCCAAAGTGCTGCACAGAGATCAGAAAATGAAGACAACAAAAAGGTAAATTGTTAAAATTTGGTCATACCAGTCCTAAAACAATAAAAGCAGTAAAAGCAAATAAAAGCAGAAACCATAAAATCACAGTAAATAAGTAAAACAATTTTTTTTTTTTAAAAGACAGAGGAGCACACAACTCACGCGGTGTTAAAAGTCAGAGAATAAAAGTGGGTTTTAAGACGAGACTTAAAACTTTCCACTGTCGGGGCTGTTGGGGCGTGGGGGGGGCAGAGCTTTCCAGATTTTGGGTCCGGCCATAGAGAAAGCCCTGTCCCCCCGGTTTTAAGTCTTGTTTTCGGCACCACAAGCTGGAGCTGGACCTCAGACCTCATAGAGGGTATAAATGTGGATGAGGTCCGAGATGTACTGTGGGGCCAGTCCATTCAAAGCTTTAAAAACAAACAATAAAATGTTAAAATCAGCTCTAAAACGAACTTGAAGACAGTGCAACAACGCTAAAATCGGGGTAATGTGCTCACGTTTTTTAATGTCCAATCGACTCAGTCTGCACCAAACTAGTCCGAGTTTGTGTTTCGGAACCTCGATTTTGATTGACCTCGAGAAAGCCACTGCACATTCTCGAGGTGGAGGTGGGTTTTCCCCAAGTCCCGAGCACAACAAACTGTGCCATAAAGCCATATTAGAATGTTGTTACTTCAACATCATACTTGGAGTTGTGTTTTGTTTAGGGTGACCAGAAAACTGAAAAAACAAATCGTTATCCGTTTTATTCATTTTGGTTTTGGAGACAAATAATGAAGAAAACAGTTCTTCTTTAATTTTCTTATTATTGGTTTTATTTTGAAAAACTAATGAACGAATGATACACGGATTGTAGTAGCAGTAGTAGTAGTAGTAGTAGTTTCTTTTCTTCAGTCATGTACTTAATCATGTACTTAATAGACTGTTACAAACATTTTGCATAAAACTATGACCAAAGGGGTTTAGGCTGAAGTGAAATCAATTATAAATGCCTAACCCAGAATTAACAGCTACAATTTGTTAACCTTTTATTTTTGGTAGACATGAATGAACCTCTTTCAAGGAGGGTGTGAGGAGATTAAAAACACAGTGGAGCACTTCCTGCATCGCCACATGACATCACACAATGGAACAGAGTGTTTTCTGTTTAAGAGAAGAACTAAATATGCTCCTGTGAATGAAACAAAACACAACTCCAGGTACGTTTGTGATGACGAAACTACATTACAATGTAAATCAGAAAATACATACTCAAAATGGCGACTATGATGTAAACAGGAAGTTGAAATCCACAAATATAGTGTTATCCTAGCATTGTAGTTAGCTTGCAAACAGTCTCAGGTGATGTATAAATGCTACATGCCTACAAATCAACATACTTCCAATACATGCATCACAAATTTCGGACTTCCGGTCATTGTGCGATGCATACAGGAAAGGATTCTACAAAAAAGTGAGCATCAAACCGCCGTGTTTGTTTTCCCAGTGGGATGCATCTATTGACAAAGTCAGTCTTTTCTAGTCTTTTGAACCATATCACTTTTGTTTCTGGTTCTGATATTGTCATATTTTAGTTTTGGGATTCGGACATCATAATTGTGTGATTGTTGGATGTCTTAACAGCGGAAAACGGCTCGAGAAATGTGCTTCGGAAGTTTGCGATCTCCATAAATGCAAAAGGGAATCAGATGTGTGTGACTGCAAACCTCCGTTCAAACTGTTCAAACCTTTAACTGCCTAAATCATCCCGAGTCTACAGCAAAACATTTTGTATGTGGAGCCATCAAAGCAGGATCCCGTTTGTTAAGTGAGAGGAGCAGAAGACAAACAGACTGAGCTGCACTTTCTTGTTCTTGTGGTTTTACAGCAACATCACGTCTTGGTCTCTTTGCAGTGGAAGGTGTTTCTTGGTGAACAGTTGGAGCCTTTCACTTTGGTGTTGACTTTTTAAATTCGTAACCAAGGTGGAGCGAGGGATCAGGGTTTTGCTTTGTTGCTGCTCCACATACAAAATGTTTGCTGCAAACTTGGGATGATTTAGGTAGTCAAAGTTTCCTTTTTTGTCTTTTGTCTTGTGTACAGTATTAATCCTGCCCATCACCTTCACCTTTCACTATTTTTCAGTTCCATTGGGAAGGGAAACAGTTTGAACAGAGGTTTGAGTCACACACATCTGATTCCCTTTTGCATTTAAGAAGTTCGCAAACAAATTTCTCGAGCCATTTTCCGCTGTTAGGATCCAACAACCACACAATTACGATGTCCAAATCCCAAAACTAAAATATGACAATATCAGAACCAGAAACAAAAGTGATATGGTTCAAAAGACTAGAAAAGACTGACTTTGTCAATAGACACATCCCACTGGGAAAACAAACATGGCAGTTTGATGCTCAGTTTTTCGGAAAAAACTTTTTGCTAAACCAGTGCACAATGACCAGAAGTCCAAAATTCGTGACGCCTGTATAGTACTAGTCTACATTTGGGTATAATTAACGGAATATTCTCGAACCTGTGCGCTGATCGTTCAAGAGTTACATAAGATTGTATTGTTAGCGATGTCAGTTTGATGCTAAGGAAGAAATGGAGGTTGAAGACTTACATACATGCTGCTTAACTGTTGCTTCGTCATTATATTTGTATTGTACCATATGTGTTTTGGCAAAGGCAACGCTAAAATGCAAAAAGAAAAAAAAAAAGAAAAATGGCTTAAGCAACTTTATTAGCTAAAGAGATTTTTATGGTTTGAGGTGGTTGCACAATCACGACAGGAAGTCTTTAAACCGACCTTTATTTTGAAAATCAACTCTGGGACTTTTAAGTTGAAACTCTGGGACAATTCAAACCGAGAGCGACGGAAAGGACGGACCAATGAGATTACAGAAGCGAAACGAGGGCTTTTCTGATTGGACGATTGAATTCCAAGAGTCCAGCCTGCGCCAGTTTCATCACTAACAACCGTACCACTGATTTATTCAAATATATAAATTGTTTTTGCTGCTTCTCGTGTACATTTTCTATTTGAGAGTTTTACTAGTTTGCAACAATATTTTTCTTCCAGTTTTTTTTTTACATCTATATAAAATTAGCTGATAAGATTTGCTAATATTTGCATATGTGAAAAACAACATAGCATTATTAGGCTATATAGTGTATAGCAATTTGTACAATATTCCTTCTCTTTAGCAAAAACGGGGAAAAATCAGCTATCTACTAATGACCTTAATGTTATTGTACCATTAATATTGTTATAAGATATTTGAAATGCTATTTTTATTCTATAGAGATTTTAGCCTAAATGAGACGGTCTTTGGTAAATACTGGATGTATTTAGAGTGTTATGTATTACAGCTATATTGTAAACAGTGTTTAAAATGTTAATATTGGATTTTACTGTAATAATTTTTATGTTGGTTTGTTATTCAGACTTATTATCACTGCATTTTATTTGATATTAATTATGAAAACAGAAAGCACTTGTTGCGAGGTATGTGTATTGTATGTGCCATGCGACTTCACTTCCTTCTCTTGTTGTGTATATAATATTTGTACTTCTTTTTACAGAAAACAGCTTAGTTTAAATATGAATGTTTTTTCAACTTTTCCTCTGTTCCTTTTTGTTACGTGATCCTGTAAATGTACTCCTGTAATAAACCAGAAAAAACTACAACCTGCACTCTTCACTCATCGTTCTTTCACTAAAACGGTACTTATTATTTTATATGAAGGCATTAGGGATGTAACGATATCCAAATCTCTCGGTTCGATATTTTCAAGATACACATTTTACGGTACAATATTTATTATGATATTTTGTGGAGGCTTACTAAACTGTGAATATGCTACTTTGACCTCTTAAAATACCTTGATAAGACTTAATCCAAAGAACTAAGAATTAAAAGTGCTTGTAAAGTGTTTGTCCTGAAACACACCAGAGCAAAGGATCATGGTCTATGTAGTTCCTTTCTGTTATTTTTAGCTATTGCACCAAAACTATAAGCAAAGGGACTTGTATTTAATAATTGTAGTGCATCAGTTTTTTATAGCACTTTTTTGGAAACTCAAAGACGCTTTTCAGAGCATTAATCATTCACTCCAGACCCGGTGGTAAATTACTATTGTAGTCACATCTGCCCTGGGACAGACTGACGGAAGCAAGGCTGCCAATCTGTGCCATCGGCCCCTTCGACTACCACCATCACTCACACACCACTTTTATACTAGGCAATGTAGGTGAAGTGCCTTGCTAAGGACACAACAACAGTTTTTAAGACTGGCGCCCCCCTGTGGCCCCCCCAGTGGTCTCCCATCCAAGTACTAACCAGGCCCGGCGCTGCGGAGCTTCCGAGGTCTGACGGGATCAGGCTTTGACGAGCTGGTATGGCCACGAAGCCGGTATGGCCACATTTCAATATATTGTGACTGTCCACGATATTATTATGAGACCTTTGACTATATGATATCACCACATTTTGGTTATTGTTACATCCCTAGAAGGCATTCAAAACTTGAAGTTATAGAAGCGAATTTGGAGCCAAGTCCATATAATCAGTGTTGGGAAGGTGACTTTTAAAATGTATTCCCCTGCAGATTACAGATTACACACCCCAAAATGTAGTTTGTAACAGAATCCATTAAATTACTTAAAGTGAGTAATGTAATCTGAATACTTTGGATTACTTGATTTGCAGTAGAGAAAGAAAGACCAGGATATCGTAACATAAGATGTTTTGTCTGATTAAAGACAATGAAAAGTCCAGACTTTACTCAACCGTATTAAAAATATTATTGATAGAAGACGAGGAGACATGTCCACGCGGCATGGTTTAAACCTGTTAAATCCTGTTTTAGTCCTGTTTTGGATCTGGTTTAGACCTGGTTTAGATCTAGTTTTAGTCCTGGTTTAGACCTGGTTTAGACCTGGTTTAGATCTAGTTTAGATTTAGTTTAGACCTGGTTTTAGACCTGGTTTAGTCCTGGTTTAGACCTGGTTTTAGACCTGTTTTAGACCTGGTTTAGATCTAGTTTAGACCTGGTTTAGTTTCCAGCAATGAGTGGAGTTACCAAGAAAAAAATAAAAAATGGGGGGGATATAGCCAAAATGTGAAAACAGGAAAATACTGCTATGTAATCCATTTATTTCAACAAAGTAACTGTAATCCAATTACCTCTCACTGAAACAGTAACTGTAACTGAGTACAGTTACTCATAATTTGTACTCTGATTAAGTAACTCCAGTACATGTAATCTGTTACTCCCCAGCACTGCATATAATGAATATGAATTTATTTACGTACAAATAGTGAAATAAAAACACCAGGATCATGTAGAGTGGGTTAATATGAACAGTTTAAGAGCAAAATGACAAGACTCACTGCAGCACTTACAGAGAGAGGAGCCACAATGTTCAATGTAAACTCAATAAGAAACAGAGTTGATGGAGCCGGAAGCGCCCCCATGCTCATCTCCTATGTGGAACACTGCAGCTTTAGCATACACAGTGGATATGGCGGGTTAACTATGTCCATTTATAAGAACAGTCCATGCTCAAATCAAGGAACCACTCAGCCACCTCTGGATCTACCGGCTGTACCAGTGACCTTTATGTCAAGAGTGGGATTCGAACCACCAACCTTCGGGTCAGAAGATGAACACTTGGATCTCCCTTGTACATTCTCCTCAGTGGTTACATTTACTTGAGTAACTTTTTAAAGAAATTTGACCTTTCAGAGCACTTTTCTAGATATGGATAGTTACACTTTTACATCTACTCGAGTAATATTTACTAACTTCTCACTGTGAGTAAGTCTGAAGTGACAAAACTTTATGTGACAATATGAAATTAATTGAACCTTTGTGGTTTTTGCAGCACAAATTAACATTTCTCATTTTTGTGTCTGTTCTTTGAAAAGAGCTGATTGCTTTATTTAATGTTTTGTGCTTCATGTTATATTAATGTGTCAAAGCCTGATCTCGTCACATCTCAGAAGCTCAGTGAGGCCGGGCCTTGGGCAGGAGACCACTGGGAACATCTGGTACCACAGTGGAGCGCCAGTGTCATTGTGTTCTTAGGCAAGACACTTCACCCACATTGCCTAGTATGAAAGTGGCGTGTGTGTGTGTGAGTGATGGTGGCAGTCGGAGGGGCCAATGGTGCAGAATGGCAGCCTCGCTTCTGTCAGTGTGCCCCAGGGCAGCTGTGGCTTCAATAGTATCTTACCAGCACCGGGTATGAAGTGAATGAATAATGTTCTGTCTCTGAGTGTCCAAAAAGTGCTGTATAAAACTGATGCATTATTATTATTAAATACAAGTCCCTTCGCTTAAATTGATAGTTTTTGTGTGTTACATCCCCAGGCCTGAGATTTTAAGTTGTTTTGTGTGTTTTGAATTATTCTGCTGACACACCTTGATTTCTGCTGTGGGAGCCCTGGTTTGTGATTGGTGGGGGATGTCGACGCCCACCTCACCTGCAGCCCCCGCCCCCT